AAGCGGATTCTTTCGTTTTACTGGTTTTGAGAAATTTTGAATACACGCTTTCATGGTGTCTTTGACTTCTTGATGTTTTGCTTCGCAGACTACCGACGGAAACTCTAGCTTAAAAATATGAAAAATGCCAACTAAATATGCTCTGACTGATCTTGGAGAAATAATACGACTCATAATGGAAACAAAATCACATAAGTTACGTTTATGTGGAATAAAAGGCTGTTTGAAATGGACACAAAACTTAGCGAAGGAACGAAACCCAGACTTGTATTTTTCTAAAGATATTTTTTGGATAGTTGAACGTTGATCTTGTTTAGAAATCACCCAAAGTTCCTCTATGCTGATGAGTAATAGAGGATTTTTTGGATTTGACTTTCGAGATAAAGAAGGATTCGAGTTCACCATAATGCTACAAAGAAACGGTCGAAACTAAATTTGCCTCTCTTCCGCCAGAACAAAGCAAAGGGTCAATTTTTAAATACGACACAGATATAGCATCAATATCTTGACATAAGATCTCTACTTCAACCGGTGACAAAACCGCAACCTGACGAGATAACGAGTCTGCTTCTGCATTGTTGTCCGCTGAGACATGTTTCACCTTCACGTCCGCTTTTGCTGATATAATTTGTTTTGCGCAATGACGAAACAACGGCCGAACAATCTTGCTAGGCGCATGACTACTGAATAACGTTACCACATTCATGTTGTCTGAGAAAATTAAAATCCGTTTTGAGCCGTTGGTTATACCTAAATTAACCGCTGAGATCACCCCTAACAACTCAGCCCAGAAAATATTACGAAGGGGAGGAGGAAGAATAAAATAATTGCCAATTTTTTGTCTCGGTTCCCAAATGCCGATTCCATGCATGCACGCATCCGTGTAGAAAATAGACTCCGCTTCCGCCTCACCCCAACGTAAAGTCCTGAGCATCTGAATACCAGGACTCTCCCTAAAAAATTCTATTAACCAGCGTAAATCATTCTGATTCTCTTTGTTTAAATGAATTTGGAGATAGCGGTGAGACTTCTCCCCGGATTTTTCATACAAACTTTGCAACGCAAAACGCCCCCACGGCATTGACGTGCAGGCCCAAGATGCGTGACCCAAGATTTTTTGCCAATCGTTCAACGAATGGTGAGGGGATGAAACAAAATCCTGAAGATTTTTTACCAAGAGAGCTTTCTTGTCGGGGTGCAAATACATAATCATCTTCTCCGTGTCAACCATGTGACCTATGATTTCGAGAACAGGACCGTGAAGTTGCTTTTTCCAGACCCAAGGAATGTTGAGAATGTCAAAAAGATTTAGAAGCTTTGCCTGATTCAAAGGAATCCGATGACCTTTGAACTCGACAAAATGTTTCCTTGAACACACTGACCACACATCATCCATCATATTGTTCATAAATTTAATGTCAAATATGAACTCAGCTATCCAAAGAACCAAAGAAAACACCCCACACCATATGTATGGGGAGGCGGAAGAACCGAAGGTCATGTTGTGGTCGATTCTTTTCTTGTTTCCCCAAATCTTCAAAACTTGGCGGATCTGATATTGAAGATGCACAGGAATTGTTCTAAAGGCATTTTCTACGTCCAATTTGAAGAGGGTTACTTCTCCTAATTCTTCTTCCATGTCGATTAAGTACGGAATGAAATTCTTTAACGAATCGTAAGCAACTGGAATACTTTCTTTTTTGATGAGATCGTTCGGTGACGGTCTGCCGGCACTCATATTTGAGCATACCCGCATCTTGACCGAATCCTTTTTTGAGACCATAAGAAGTGGGACGACTTTCATGCCTTCTAGTAACACTGTGAATTCTTCTGAGTATCTTCCTTTCGAAACCTCTTCTTGACATTGAGCATCTAAAATGTCTTGGAATTGCAAGCATGACTTGTGATTCGGACCATCCACGATTGATGAATCTGGCTTTGAAGAGCATGGCCAAAAACCCAACCTCAGGCCCTTTAACGCGGAACTCACAAACACACGATTTGGGTGGTTAGCTAATAAAGTTTCGAATTTTTCCACATTAAACGGAGTGACAATTTTAAAGAGATGAGGGAATTGTTGCAAAACAAAATCTGCGTCGAAATCTTCCGATAAAGGTGGGGCATCGGGAAATGGTGCTGCGTAGAAGCTGGACTCGATTGCTGGAGAAGACCCGGACCGGTTCATTTTGTTCCAAACATAACCACGAAGAAACTTTGATTCTGGAACAACTTCTTCGACTGGGTTTGCTACTGATAAAACCACTGGCATGCTATGGAAACTTAACAGTCAGCAGAAGCATATGAAACAATCGATGAGACAGGAAAAAATGACGGAATACCGACCCCTCATCAGCATTACTCCCACATGGATCTTGATCTCCCATTTCCTCAGACATGATCACATCCTCTGTGATCTTTTCTGCGGCCTTTAACGTTCTGAAGATGCCATAAAGGGGTCAGAACCAAAACGAAATCCATAAAGGAAGAAAAACGAAAACAATAGATAATGAAACATATCAAACCAACACAACGGTGGATGCGAGGGCATTTCGGCTTGCCCAGCAAGCATCCTCAACCAGGTAAGTTGTGCGCAAAACAAAATTGTTCTGCCAACTTTGTCGTATCGCCCAAATCCTCGACTTCGAAAACTCCTTTGTGCTTATAACTAGAGTCGTAATAATTCGGTGAATGGTGAATTCAAGAAGCGCTAGCTTGATATTGAGGGTTCTGGCGAGGGCGTTGATGAGACATTTGAGGACCCGGATGAGAACTTGACAAAGCCACTGAAGGCTTTTCTTCAAATGCTCTGTGCATGTGACGCGTTCTAATCGTACTAAGACTCGGGTGATTCCAATCCCCAAAAGAAATGTCTCGTCTAGTAGCAAATTGGCTCCTGAGGGCTGCATCAAAATTAGCCACGCACATCCAGTCTGCTCTGACTCCATCCAACATGAATTCTTCTTTGATGAATTTTGAGTACTGAAGAAAAAACTTATGGCTCAATGGAAAAGCTTCTTGATAAGCTTGTTGTAAGATGTCGAAATAAAAGGACCATTCCTGAGCATCCATAAGATTCGAGGCCACCTTCTTGTTTTGAATTTCCAAGTCTTTGTCTTTCCCGGTAACCATAAGATTCGAAGCAATTCCTTTCTTTTCGGCCAAGTATTCGCCCTTAATTCTACGTAAATCAATGTATTTACCTTGGAGGAGTTCTTTGCACAGATTAGACGGAAAGTTAGGGGGTTTAACTCTGTCGATAAACCCTTCCACGGCTTTTGATAAGTGCGGAGCGTAGCCTCTGACGGCTTTAGAAAACGGAACTGCACTTTCTGAGTAATTGTCCGAGGCAGCTGAGCCCTCTTCGACCCTTTTGGACCATTCCCAAGACTTCTGCCACTTTTTGGTCTTTTTGTCCGTATCATCGTCTGAAGAATCATCGTCGGATACTTTATCTTTTCCTTTTGTCTTCGTAACAAACGGCGAAGGAGATTTTGACCTGATCCGTTGACCGTCCAATAAATCACAAGCTTTTTGTGCATTATCAATTTGTGCTTGAGTAAGAATTTGCACATCGTCGTTGATTTTGCTTCGCGCTTGAGACGAGCGACGACTTCTGGCTGCATCTGGTGGAAACGTTGGATTGTCGTTGAGGTCAAATACATAGACCTGATCCTCGTTTGAGATGATGGGAACGGTGGGAGCAGGTCCTTCATTTTTGAATATTGGACGGTTTGCGATCTTATCTTTCTCGATAAGGTCTGATGCAAATCTCGACCATTGTTTGTACCAATTCTTTGAAGAGAATGGAACAATTTCTGCGAATAACGCTCTGACTTCAGACATGGATTTGTTGTTGGAACCGCCTGCCGTTTCATATTCAGCAGAAAGGGCGGAAAGCTTTTCGGTAACCAGCGAGGCAGCATTAAAATCATAACTGCCTGCGTCACTCATGGATAATAGAACGGAATCGACGGTTTTTTAGAGAAACGGATGGTTTTTAGAGGTTTTAAGAGACTTCTAACTTTGGACGAATAGATCTGAGGTGGTTTATGCTGATAAAAACTAACTAAAGAACTAATACGATGATAGGATAACAGCACGAGAGAAACGGAAGTGAACGCGATGGGAATAATTGAATAAGTTGGTTTGATGGAAGAACACAATCAATGACATCATAACTGTAATCATCACAAAAAGGAACAACAAAGACCGACCCGTCAGTAATCTGACATGTGTAGTTACAGACCAACTTATCACATTCCCATCGGTTAATAACCAGTTACCAACATCTAGTAATCCGATGAAATAATTACTGTGGCCATCATTCTCTTACGCCAAAACAGCTGATCAGATATACAGACTTTCACAGTATTGATTTGAGACTCTTTGATTGATACCAGAGTTTATGACTGGATCATGGAACAACTTATCACATTCATCATCAGATGCGCACTATTTCTCACCCTTATCTCTATGCAGAGTTTTCTTTGGTCAAAGGTGTAAGTGGGCTTGAATTCATTTTGTCATTAAAATGATTTTGGTATTATTATGGTTCTCAAACCTATGCAAAAATTTGTGCAAGTTTCGAGCAACTTCTGTGCAAGACATGAATAGAACTTGCACGGAACTTGCACGGAACTTGCACGTCGGTCTCGCACGGTTTTCGTACCAGTTGGAACAAAATAGCTGGGGTCGTCAAAAAATTTAATGCGCAAGATTGGTGCAAGAAATCTTGCACGGATCTTGCACGTCGGTCTTGCACAGTTCTTGCACAGGTTTGAGAACCATATATATACACCAATACAACTTAAAATGCTATGCACAGCATGTGCGTTTCCAACTATTTATACACAAATGAGGTTTCAAGGGCGGGCAAGCCCGCCTAAGGTCTAATGAAATATGAAATTGCCGTATGTATGCATTTCATTTGCAGGTAATGTCTTCATACGGTGCACTGAACATGGCATGGTCAAGGAAAATGATTGAACACGTCACAGCAACTAGTTGCGGTAGCAAGTATCACATGCTGAAAGTAAAAGACATTTTCTGGTCAATGATGTAGGCTGTCTAGAACGTTTGTGATCAAACTTACATATGTATCCCACTTTACTAGGGTCCACCTCACAGTCATAGGTTTGTCCCGAGGGATTGGTGCAAGCTGAGAGATTCAATTCGCAGGGTCAAAGTGGACAGAAGGCTGAGGTAAGTAAGTACATACGGCAAACAAGATAAACCAAAAACTACGCACTGAAAGAACCTTTACCATCCTGCGCTCCATCAGAAGCCCAATCGTACTCTACGCAATCTTGGTAGCTTAGGCCAGGAACGTCTTGGTCTTCCCATGTACAGCCATACATGCGAACATTTCTTGTATTTTCAGCTGCGTTCATAAAATTGATATTCTCCAATCAGCTTTCGATCAAGAATCACAATCATCAGACGAATTTCTTTGGTGAAGGAATGTCTACCCCTGTTGTAACACGATCTGGGGTCGCACCGGATCTGAGAATTCCCGGGATCTAATGTTTGGCCGCAAACTTAGGAAGAGAAAATAGACAAGTTCAGCAAAATTGTGAGGTGAATCATATCCAACGTTGTCAGGAATGCAGAAGGACAGCATACCCCCGTGTGCTGAATATGCGCCAATGCAATTCCATAAGTCCGATGACACGATGAGTGCGTTGAGAAAAAAGGTAAAGACTAGCACACTGATCTTAAGAACAGACTTGTTCAACATTTTTTTAATGAGAAAAGCGAGAAAGAAGAGCGTAGGTGATGATGAGGTCTCTTGATTGGGTAGTGTGCACTGTGACACAGGATGTGAGCGGGAGGGAAGAATTGGTGAGCACTGTCTACACTCCCTTTGGGTTTATACGATATAGAATGAGGCTATCATCCGATACATACATTCCCCTTTTTGCGGCGAGGCGCTATTTGTTGGTCAGTCACGGTATGGTGCATCGGGACTCCGGGAGGGTCCATACGTTTGAACCACAGACAACACATAGTCATACAGTGCACATTGCTATCAGTGTTTCCTTTGTCCTCTTTGGCCTTCTGTTTACCTTCAAACTACGATCAAATTTTCAGCATGCATTGACTCTGAAATTCAAACCACTCCTGTTACTATGGGACACCAGACACTACTGAATAACATTTCGCAAAGGATTCAAATCCGAAATGCTTTAGGAGACCTCAATCATTGACGAGTGACTTTGATTACTTTCACCGTTTAATAATTGTAGTAGCTGGGACAATGTGTGCTGCAGTCATCTTTCACCAAACATATTCAAAACTCCATATCACCGGGTGAGCTTTACAAATTAATTGAAGTCCATCTTTGACTTTTGAGGATTGTATTTCGAGATGTTCATCCCTTTCACCTGGTGTAGCGGACCAGCACAAAATGATCAAGCTCCACGTCATCTTCACATCACGTCTTGATCGAGTCACAGACCAAATTCCATCATCTTTTTGCCTCCAAAAAATCTGATTCTTCGGTTCATGATCATTATATATGGGGGTTTACAGAAGTGTATCTCAAGCCAGGTCCACTCAATGAGAACTTCCTCGGCTGTTCAAGTTTTGCATCACGCGCTTTTGGATCACTTAATCCTCCGAATTCAAGGTCTGTATCCGAATAAACAAATCAGCATCATTCATTAGCCAATAAGCCATCAGGGTATCTGACTTTCGTTTGTTTTTAATTGAGAATGAACTTTCTTACCTGCATCATTTATAAAATTGTTGTAATCCTCATCGAGATCTATTGATGGTTTTGAGAAAAATTGAATTGAGATTCAAACCATGATGTCATGCTCAAAACTCAAGGATGAGTACTTACCTCCTCTGGGTAGAACATTCGATTCTGAAGGTCGATGAAGAAGCAACAAATCATTGAACTGCGTCAGTAAATGAATTTATACTCAATCGCAAAGATCACAGGATAGATTATAGTCAGACCTCTATCACTTGTTTCCAAAAAATCATCTTCATTGCCACAAAAAACCACTGCCCTCATCAAGCTTTTGTTCATGATAGGCGTCATTTTACCTAGCCATCCTAACTTACCTCCCAAACTTTGGTCTTGGTTTATATTCTCCTCTTGTGTTATATGTCCTTCTGGTGCTATGCTCCCCCCTTGCATGATTGAAGAGTTAAAATCGAAGACTGATTTTCCAAAATTCAAAGATTGAAGAATCAGTGTTTTACGGGCCAAATATATCAGTTCGAAATTATGATCGTAGGTCAAATAATGTGATATGAACCTCTTTGTTGAGCTTGTACATAATTACGCCTCAAGTTCGGATCGCTACAATTCTTTCTGTTTGTCGCCTGAAGTTTCGCTTTAGGCGCTTCTTGATCATTTATCCCTCTAGACTCAAGTCCTGTGAACGAACGAAAAAAAATAATCAATAATAGAGAGCAAGAAAAACTCGTCAGGGTATCGTAGCTTTTGTTTAAAATCAAAAAACATCCTTACTAGGATGATTTAAGAATTTTTGATAATCCTCGTCAAGCTCTATCAAAAAAGAATTATGCAATCAAATTAGGTTCGAAAAACCGCAAAATTTATCCTCAAGACGTGATGATCTAAACCCTACCTCCTTTGGTCACGGCATTGAAATCCAAAACTTTGATGAAAAAACAAAGAATCATTAGTATCACTTTCTATAACCACATGTTCCGAATTTCAGGTAAATTTTTCAAGCTCTTACCCACTGCATGGTTATCTTTTTCTTTCGATCAAGAATAGAAGATTTTGATCAAAATTTATTCATTGCGTTTTTTTGGAAGTTGATGATTCCTGGGGGTAAAATTTGAAAGCGATCTGAAACACTTCACTCACTTCTTGAGGCACCTGGGCCAATATGAAGACTAGATGGTTTTATGATGATATTGTGGTTTTCGTAAGTCATCATTGAGAAGACTAAGAGATGAAGAAAATGAGATCGAATTAATTCCAAAGTGGACCCGAAAAGAAGCCGACTTTTTGTCTAGATTGATGTGGATGGAAAAGGCAGGAGATAGCGGAGACTCATGGGGTGCATGTTTGTCAATGACTTTAATTCCTCAATCTTAATTCCTAGATCTAGGTTTTACTTGATTCAGCTACAAATTTGGAGTCAAAGCATCGAGCAAAACCCTGCAAAACCCTGTCAAACCGGTTGTGGATCCTCAGAGCTGAGGATGACAATTCTGTACTTTACAAAGTTAAACTCAGAAACAAAGCTGTGTATGAATTTTTTGAAACTCAGGACAAGTTTCGTTTCGAAATGCTGATGAAGAGTTGACCTTTTGTGATATGTCTCGCCCTACTGTTTTTTTACATTTTCATTAAAACACTTTTTGTTGATTACGTAAAGACCAGAATCAAGGTTAGTGCGATTCGCAAATAGGATAGGTCAACAGCTTTTTCATCTAAATCGGTCGATATTTCCTCGCGATCGGTTAACAAACAATAACTCTTGGGTCGGTCTTGAGTAATCATAAATAAAGATTTCTGCCCAGTGTGTTACTTTGAAGAATTTCTGGTATCTCCATATCCTCAAGACTCTTTTCATCGCGGCTATCGATGGGTTCCAAACCTCATGCTGAACACCTCGACTCAGTCTCAGCGGTTACGACTTCGCCTTCTGATGGCAAAGTGTCAACTTTACCAAATCCTAGCGATGACATCATCAGTTCCGACCCACCAACTGATCTTCCAATCGATTCAAACGATCGTACCACAAATGTGATGAGTTATATGCCACATGCCCAACAAGCTCTAGCGATCGGAGGCTCAGCAACCGATTATGGTTTTCAAATCGCGAAATCTTCAACTCAATTCGGGTTCTCAATCTCTCGTAAAATCATTGGAACAGTCTTTGATACATTATCAGGTGTACCTCCTACATTCAGTTTACAAGAAAACGAGTCAAGTCAATCTATCGTCTCTACTACTATCAATGCAGGTATTTCATTAGCAGAATGGTGCGCAATTCAATCGATCGGTCTAGGTCAACAGATCTCGAAAACCAGTCTCGATCTTGCTTCTTCTACTGTCTCTCGCCTGGATGGGTTTTATAAAGCCCATCTCAGTGATCAATATACTACTTTTAAAGCTCTTAAACTATTTGTGAAAATGATACGGAAACAATGGCGCGAAGAACCTGATCATGATCCACCGGGTGGGATTTCTCAATTCGGAATTCTGGATATCCTTAAATCACTTTCTTGTTGGGCTTTACTTCAAAATTTGACTAGTGCGATCTATTCAAAACGAATCATAGGAGAATTGAAAGAAATCAGTCTTTCAGATCTACAAAACTTTTCGCAAGCAAACCATCAATCCGATTGGACTTCATCAGAAAATGGTCTGCAATTTGTAGTAGATCAACAGCTGAAGACCGAGAAGAGTCAAATTGATGGGTCCTCACAAACTGATGCTGAGATCATCACTGGTCATCTCGTCCAATCTACGAACGCACCCAAGTCCAAGATCGAAGATCGACCCTCAAACCCCATCACATCGGATCAATTGACACTGATGAACTTCAAGAGTTACGCCGGACTATGTTCCAGTAGCTATGGAGGTATAGGTTACTTGATGTTCGGAAGTGGAGGCGGCCCCGCACGGAAATCGGCACCTAAAAATCCTAAGGAGCCTGAAAATTCCAAGCAAGAAGAACAACTTCTAGACGAGAAAGAAAAAGGTTCCGAAGAGCTTACAAGGCATGTAGGAGTATTGAACGATGAAAAAGGCGAAAGCACTATGCCTGGAGCTTTTTCTGTTCCCGTCGCTCAAGCCGGTGAGCAATCTCGAAGTGAAGAAGAGCAGGGGGAGCGAAATGGTGGTGATCAAGCGGTATACCGAACATGGGATCTCCTCACGGGTAAACAGTACGTAGATTCCACATATATGCATCATAATGATTTTGCTGATCAATGAACCGCTTCCCTCCATACTTCATAAACCCCTACAAAAACATAAGTGATCGAGATCTCTTACAAGATTTTGGAGAGTTACACGAAGAAACGACTGAGTCAAGCGAGTCACTGGAGTTTGATTTGATCTCTGAAACGAGTACTATTGATTGGTATGAAGGCGAATCAGAACCGACCGAATCAAAACCTGCTCAACCAGAACCAGCTCATCTTCCTTCAACTCGTCAAGCTCCTCGCTATTTTATTCTTACTGATCATGCACAAAAGAAAGTGATCTTGTGCCTTCGCGGGACATTTTCGATTGATGATCTTGCCACCGATCTTACCTGTGAATATCAGAACTTTAATCCTACATCTTATTGGGATGACCCTTATCCTGGCACCTCTGGTTAGTATCTACTGTCCTTCAACTTTCATCTTTGAGCTTCTCGCCTTAAATCTAACGATTTTTTGAACTTGTGATGTGTAGATGTGAAAGAAGAAAAGACATTCAAGATCCATTCTGGGTTCGCAGAAGTGGCTCAAATGATTGGAAACTCAAAGACAGGTGCATTGACTAAAAGTTTATTTAAAGTTTTGAGAGACCTACCTGGTTATAAACTCGATTTAGTTGGGCATTCATTGGGTGCCGGTGTAGCATGTATACTGGCGCTTATGTGGGCCGAGTTGAGTAAAATGAGTTCAATCCATTCACTCGGCTACATATCACTTACCAGGATGTTTTTTTCTAGTCCTAGGCTGGGAACCACGACAAGCAAAGGTGGTTTGCCTATTGGTGTACCAGTTAAGGTTTATGGTATCGCTCCACCGTTTGAGTTTCAGCCATTCTTTTCTTCATTGATAAACTTTATCTCAAATTGACTTTTCTCTGATGGGGCATGAAATTTAGATGTTCGGTTTCTGCTCAACTCTCTACATTGAGTCGAAACATGATCAAGTCATTTGTGCATTCAACAGATGCAGTTTCTAGATTATCACTTGGACATATCTTAGATCTTAAAACTGTTTCTGCTTGGATTTGTCATTCTGAAGCTTTAACACGTCAAGAACAACAACAGCAACAAGAAACTACTTCAGATTCGAGGGCTTCCTCGTCGGTTCCTAAAGCTGGAATTTGGGAGAATGTTAGAAAATATCATGGGATGAAGGATCAGATTTTGAAACAAGTGAATGGAGTAGTTCATGAAGAGATGAAAGAACTTGAACAAATTGTATGTTACCTTTTCCCTCATTATATTGGTTTTTTTGGAACAACTTTGATCTTTGATGACTGACTTTATCTTCTTGACTTTTATTTATGAAAAATGTACTATCCTTTCGGCAAAAAAGTTGATTGCTACTAGGAAAACGTTAGAAGCAAATCTAATTCATGCAGAACAATTCCCACCCGGGGAAATCTTTTGGTATATTTCAAAAGGATCAGATCTGAAATTTCCAAAGTTACCTTTATCATCATCAGATATGAAGAAACTAGATAACAGTTCATTAGGTGATGAAGATTGGTCAAATGAAAATGGAAGACTTTTTAAGGTTTGTTGGACCCTCATTCTGCTGTTCTTTCTGAAGAGTACCAAGAAGTGAAAAATTGATTGGTTTTTCTTGGGGTTTTCCTCTTGGATAGGTGATTGGTAATGTCGAGAAAGTGTTTGATCAAATGATTTTTTCTAGAGAAATGTTAACATGTCATTTACCTCAAAGGTACTTGAAAGTTATCCAAGATGAGATTTAAGGAAAAGATAAACAAGCCATCAGATTGTATTTATAAACCATTGAGGGGTATCAACTTTTTTGTATCATTTTAGATATACATGCATGTTCGCAGTCAGGGTTGTAGCATTATTATAGTGATTTTGTTAGTATGTACAAGATATTTCAAAGGTTGATTAATGTGTCCATATAAGTTAATTTGCGAGATCAGATGATGAGTTTTGAATGGATGTCAGTACTTTTTGGCCTAACTTGTGACCAAAACCTTACTCAGCTTTCTAACAAGTTTAAGAGGACTACACTATCAGATTATGATGTTTAGTTTAGTGAGATTAGGTTAGTTTGTGGTTCAAGGGAAAGGTACTCATTTCAAACCTAACCAAAATGCAGTACACCCCATTGACTTTTTGGCTGGAAGCTGTCAAGAGCTGTCAATAGATACACAAAATTACCACCAAACACACAACTGGGTGTACTGGGTTTTTATGTCAACTGTGTTAGGTTTGAAGGCAGCTATTGAAAGATCTGTTTGGAAAACCATACAAAGATTTTGGGATTTTTGAAGTCAAGGAACACTATGATGAAGATCCTAAATGTAAAGGGCCTGTCTGCATAGACTTGGATTTGATCATTGTTTGCAAAACAATGCCAAAGAATGAGAAACAAAGATAGAACTGACTCTGATCTCTTGTGGGAGATGTTTTTTTGTAAAGTCTTTGAATTTATTCTCAATGCTCCAAACCTTCAAAGATGCTCATGTTTAACTTTATGCCAGATTATGTATCCAAAAGGGCATAGCTCTGTCTGATCAATCAGTTTTGTTAGATTACAATCAATCCATTCTTGACCACTCTTTAAGTGAGGTAATGATTGTGTAGGACTGGACTGGAGAAATTCAGACAAGCCCCTCACAGCACATCCTTTAGAAAAAATCAAGGGATTGTTGAAGTCTCTTTGAAATCTCCTACCAGATTGCACAGGTGTCAGGTCAAATCCACCAACTTACTAATTTAAAGCCATACATTTTCTGTGCAAAGCATACAACAATTGGCCAAGATTTCACCTGGATGGTGCCACCATGAACCATTTCTTGTACTGTTAGAGTTACCTGAGGCATGCAGGGTGACTCAGGTCCACAGGGTGTGGTGAGCGTGTAACACTGTAAACACTATACATTATCCTCAAGTGAGAATGGGAAAATGATTAAGCTTGTAGTTTTTCATAAAAGGATTTGTCACTGCACACCCAAGCCATAACACCCACATTACATATGTGCATCAGGCTGAGTGAATAGGCTGCTATCATGTACATACAGGTATGCTCAGTTGTTTGCTCATCTAAATAAGTAAATCAAATGTGATACATCATGTAACTTTTCAACTTTGACAAAAGTGTCCCAAACATTTACTACATATACCTCCATGGCTACTCAGGCAATACTCTTGAAGTCATTTTTCAGTAACAGAAAGGGAAACCTTCAAAAAGATGCCTGCGTGTTGAAAATCACGCCTACATGGAGGTGTAAAATACTATGAGTTGTAACACCGGGTCCAAGTACCTATTTTCTGGAAAATAACCCCACCGTTGACAAGTCCATCTCCCCCTCTGCAATTGTAAAGACCTGATGCAGACTCAACTCTGCCCAGTTTTAACAATCAATATTGGAATGAATCTGGCTATAGAGGATGTGTAGGTGTGTACTGTACCCTGCCAGCTTCCACCAGACCTTGCACATCCATCTACGGGATAAACAGAGTTTTATGGGGAAAAATTGTGAAGATAGAAAGTTTTTAGATTGTTCTGTGGCTATTTCAAACTGCAATTAAAAGGCTGACCGCAGTTTAACAGCACCTGTAGTTACATTGGCTCTCATAAGTGGTGTTTCTTACCCTCTCCGGCTGAGCAGCCTACACTTCACTGTGTAGGAGTTCTACAACAGCTTGGTACTTTTGGCTGTGCGGCATTAATGCCCATTCTTGAGGTCAGGGAGAAAATAAATGATGAAGAGATTCATCTTCTTGCGGTCAAGGCCAGTGGCCAAATCCTAGGTTTGGGGATCTTCTTTGTGCCCAAAATCTTTCTGGATGGAGGGAGCTTTGATGTAATTTTTCTTGTGTTGAGGAGAGATGGCTACATTTCTAAGGTGTGGGGCTATGATTTCAACAAATATTGCACAGAGAAGCTTGAGAACTTCTTGAGAACTTGGAGTGAATTTAAATTGTGGGTAGAATGCAAGGATAATACACACTTTCTCAAAATCTCCTCATCATAACTCAAATTAAAAACCCTCAATGCAACCCAAATCACTTCTTATGTCCACCAATATCCTCATTTTGACTCAAAACACTTTATATGTCCACCATTATTCTCATTTTGACTCAAAACACTACATATGTCCACTGTTATATATCCTCATCTCAACTCAAAACAATTTTTACATCCACTGATATCCTCATTTCATCTCAAAACACTATTTATGTCCACCGATATCCTCATTTGGACATGAAGAATGCTCTTTTGGTAGGTGAGAAGGTGTTATATGTGCTTCTTAAATACCGGTTTGATCAGTCTTGAGTCCAAAAAACTTAGGCCCCTGATTTGTATCACCTACATATGCCAAACGGAAAATGGGCGCTTATTTGACCAGAAAAATGAATGTAGGCGCTGGGAAATAGTGCCTACATTTTTATTTGGGTACGTAGGCGCTTTTAAATTCAAAAATTACGCCTACATTTTCAAAAAATCATGTAGGTGTTGGAAAATCACACCTACATTCAAAATTTGAAATGCAGGCGTAATTTTCCAATGCCTAAATCCAATTTTGTGGGAATGTAAGCACTTTTCATGGGAAACACCCATGTAGGCATAATGTGGACAGCACCTACATGGCTTTTCTGTGGGCTGCAAATAGCAACAGCCCCCCAAAAATGGAATTATACAGGTGCTGTTGTGTGTTTGGTCACCTGTAACATTCACTTGATTGGCCACACTGTCGCCACAGAGAATTGATGTTGACCCTGAAGACTCACAACCCACACCTCTACCAGCCTTGTAGAGTTGAGCAGTGTCATGACTGGTAGTTGATTGGCAAAAATGTATGTCCCGCTTTGGATTATTCAATATGGTTATTCTGTACAAAATATCTCAAATGTGATAATGAATATCTTTTGCTTTATAGTTGCAATGACATTGTGATAGACCAGTCATGATGATCACCATCATCTTCCAAAAGTTGCATCAGGTGCAGAGAGGGAAGCCTATCACGGCAAAAGGGTTATAAATGTAGGAGATTGAGAGAGGAAGGACAGAAATGGAAGAGGGATTGTCCCTTCTGAAAGTGATTTATTCTGGCCAAGTTTTTTATAATCTTTTTATTTCTTTTGACCTTTCAAAAATGATCATTACTTCATTTCTAAAAATTCAGATAATTAATCTCCCTATATCAATATTTCTTTCCACAAGAAATCATTAGTGATTACTTAGTCAATTATATTTTGTTTTTCATCTTTGTTCATCATTTTTCCTGCTCTTCTCCCTTATTTACCCAGACTTTGCCTATCTGTCTTCAGAATAGCTCAGGAGAATATGCAAATATTCAGACCTCCAGCCGGGTTGCGCCTTAAGATATTGCACATGAATTCCAGGAAAACCCCACAATTCAAGTTGCATTACTGCAGAACCAAGCATTGTAGCTCAGGTATATTAGTCAGTCGTGAGCCTCCATTGTTGCTACATATCAAGATAATGAAATGCTCTTCTACAATGACATATAGACTACCATCCCATATAACCCCATCACACCTTGTCTCAGCTCACCTTGCTTGTTATCTTCTTCATTTTGGAGTACTGTATTTCAATGGTCTTACCCTATTTGTGAAAGTCATAAAGGTTGTGACATGTAACGTATGACTCCGAGAACTTGAAGGAGTCAAGTACTTGATCCAATGATTTCGATGTTGAGCCATGAATTCTATCACATATGTAGCCGCCACTCTTTCACGTCGTTTATTATATTGTCTATGAGATAACCAAAAGGCTGTACCTTCATCTACAGGACGACCCACAAACTTATCCACAAAGATTCTATCTTGACTTGGTCTTTCAGTGTTTCCAACAATCGGTAGGTAGTCAAATTTATTTTTTGGAAGGTTTTCTAATCTTACCATGAGCCAGTTGTAACCATCACGAAGATCTTCTTTCATGTTTGTGTGTAAATGATTAGAGAAGACAACTTCAGAACATATGCTCAAGATTTCTAAGTAATTATCTAAAAGTTTTCGCATATTTGTTTTCAGATATGGTGTATGCTCAGGATTTTCACGTTTTGTCATTCCAAACAAGTTCAAAAATCCTTCAATTTGAGTTTCGTATTCATCAATTAGTTCCCTAGGTGAAATGGTTTGATGAATAGGTTCTGACACAAATTTCTGAGCAAGTTCGGCATCAAAATCGTGCAATAATTTTTCCTTTCTCTTCTTTTCATGATACCAGGTTGTACCGTAATATCTTGCTATAGCTTTGACATTGGATTGATGATTTTCGGTATTTAATGGAACATTCGATGTAGTTCCTTCATCTCGATGGTCTTTGAGTTTTGAGATAGAATTTATTTGAGACTCGAGTGCAGTAGTTGCAGGGGGCTCGAATCGTGACTGTGGAGGCTGCTGATTTGGGGCAGTCGAAGATGCCAAGGTATGAATCTTGGGATTCTTGGCTGGGCGATGCCTTTCTACTTGATCGATGAATCCCTCATTGTCATTAAATGAAGGAGGATTCTGAGGAGTGTTTTGTTTCGAGGATATAGATTCAGCTTGATCTGTATGAAATGGGCGCTTGAGCTGTCTTGATCTAAACAATGACATGAATGCGTTCAGCGAGGCTTCTTCTTGTGAACGACTAGCCGGTGAGAACAACCGAAGAAGTGGATTGGATGTAATTGGGGAACCCCGGAAGCCACTGTAGAGAAATCAAGGATCAGAACGAGATTTTTATTCCTGATCAAATCGAGTCAGAAACACCCACGAGTTTGTAGACAGTTCTAACGCCGGCCTTGCCTCTGAAATAGGTAATGTAGGCTGCGTGTTTTGAGGCATCTCGTGGCCGACAACATTGACAGCGTCCTTAGTATTTTCAGTACCATATTTCAATGGTCTTACCCTCGTTGTGAAAGACATAAAAGTTCTGACAGTTAACTTAGGAGCACTGGAAGGAGTCAAGTACTTGATCCAATGATTTCGATGTTGAGCCATGAATTCTATTACATATGTAGCCGCCACTCTTTTACGTCTTGAATTATATAACCTATGAGATAGCCAAAAGGCCGTACCCTCATATACAGAAAGACCAACAAATTTTTCCACAAAGTCTCTATCTTCAGTCGGTCTTTCAGTGTTTCCTAGAACCGGTAAGTAGTCAAATTCAGTTCTTGGAAGGTTTTCTAATCTTGCCACGAGCCAGTTGTAACCATCACGAAGGTCTTCTTTCATATTGGTGTGTAAATGATTCGAGAAAACAACTTCTGAAGATATGCTCAACATTTCTAAGTAATTATCTAAAAGTTTTCGCATATTTATTTTCAAATATAGTGTATGCTCAGGATTTTCACGTTTTGTCATTCCGAATAAGTCCAAAAATCCTTGAATTTGAGTTTCATATTCATCAATTAATTCCCTAGGTGAAATCGATTGATGAATCGGATCTGACACAAACTTCTGAGCAAGTTTGGCATCAAAATTGTGCAATAATCGCTCCTTTCTCTTCTTTTCTTTACGCCAGTTTTGACCGTAATATCTCGCTATAGCTTCGATATTGGGTTCATGATTTTTGGTAGTCAATGGATCATCAGATTTAGTTCTTTCTTTGCGGGGTGCTTTGAGTTTTGAGATAGAATTTTTTTCAGACTCGAGTGCAGCAGTTGTAGGGCGCTCGGATTGCAACCGTGAGGGCTGCTGATTTGGGGAAGTCGATGATGTCCCGATGTGAATGTCGGTATCTATGGATGGGCGACGCATCTCTCCTTGACTGATGAATACTTCATTGTCATCGAATGAAGAATGGCCATGAAGCAGTTGATTCTTGGGAGGTTGATATTCAAGTCCATGAGTGTGAACCGGGCGCTTGCGTAGTGCTGATTTGAACAACGAAACCGGTATGTGCTTTCGGGGTTCTCCGTTGGCAAGACTAGCCGGGTTGAATGTACTCGAGGACCCTTGTAAACCACTATTGAGCAACTGAGGATCAGAAAAAGATTGGCATGTCTGATCAATGTTGGTCAAATACACTCACGAGTATAAAGATTGCTGTAACCCCTGCTTTGCCTGCGAGATAGGTATTCTAGGCTGTGTACTTTGAGGTGTTGTATCGTGGTGAACATGCTTGGAAGAGTCTTTGAGAGTTTCCAGAGTCTGTCTTTCGTTTTCAAGAGGTGAAATGAGTGTAAAAACGACAGGTTGCGATGGAGTCTCGTGTGGTATGGGTTCGGTCAAGCGAGACCATGGTCCTGCATGGCTCTCCGTATTTGCAACAGGATGACCTATCGTGTTAGTCACATCCCAAACGCCCATAGCGGTCAGTGAAATAGGCCAATTGAACACCAACACCATGGTCCGGAATGACTTCATGTTGAATAGATGCATGGTCGAGTGGCTGAGTGCCTGATGTGGAGTGCCTGTTGGTCGAGATTTCGGAGAGCATCGAAGTCCTCCCTCCTACGCAAGGTGGAAATCGCGAAAAACATCGTGCCGACCCCTTGTAGCAAGCAAGTTTGTTTCATGCCAAAGCAGAAAGCAGATGTCACGTTTGAGGCTACATACGCCAACTTTAACAGTGCTAAACCAGCTAAACCTTTGCACACCGACACCTATATACTGACACGATGAAAGATTATGTGAACATGTTTGAGATGGGAAGTGGGATACTTGAATATCACAAATCGATTCTGATAATGGTCGATCACCTTCAATTTTTTGAGAAAATCCGCGATTGAATCCTGATCAAACTCCAGGTTAGTAAGATGTGTGATATTCGTAATATGAAGTTACAAATGTATGAGTCCTCAACGTCGATCATATGGCAAAGTTCTTATGAAATGTAATACTGGATGACCAAGTGGAAAGAGATACGAACTGAGCTTGGGTTTTGACTTCACAGCTCAAAGCTATGTGATGTCATGACTGGAAATGTGAAATTGAGTTTGATTTGAAAGACCTGCTTTGGAATGAGCAGCTGATCATCTTTAACACAGCTTGGAAAGACATGGAAGTCAGAAATGTGACGTCAGAGCTGATAACTTACAAACACCTTGATCACTCACTTCATTTCCGTCTTCATTTCCGTCGTCCCTTCTCCCTATCAAATACCTTCCATTTTTAAAATATCGAAAGACGATCGAAAGATATTAATCAACATGGGGTTAATATCTGACCTCTTGTCGGGCGGAAAAAAATCTTCCCACACAACTCCTAATCGTCCTGATAGTAATACCAACGCCCCAGACTCTACAAACAACCCTTACCCTCCTGTAGGAGCGAGCAATCCTTTACCTCCCCATAGTAAAAAAAATGGTCATCAATATGATGAAGATCAATCACTTCCTCCAGGCTGGGTAAAGTGAGATTCTTGATCCGAAAAGTAAAATTTATTATGGGAAAGACTGATTGATTGGATCCTTAGACAATGGAGTGAAGAACATCATCGTTATTTTTATGTTGATTCGAATGCTTTAAATGGTCCACAATCTCATTGGGTTCATCCTTCCGAGATGAATACGAACCATTCGAGCGGACGAGTATCAAATTTCGTTGGTTCATCTTACCCACAAGATCCTCGACACCACTCGTATGATTTCCTTTTATTCTGTTTGATTTGAATCTCCCTGACTTCTATTCCTCTTACAGATTGGTATACTGATTCGATTGTTCCTTATTGGTCAGATATGCTCAACAGTCTATGTATCAACAAGTTCCCACTCAGATGAATGAGAGACGTAGCGATGTAAGAGGAAGAAAAAGTGGAATGAATCCGTACGAGTTTCTTGTCTTGTTCGCGCGTGCTAATCGTTCCATCTGAAAAGACTCGAATCCAAATTTCCGTCGTATCACGTAGCATGATGGCTGGTGCTGGTGGTCTCGCTGGTGGGATGTTGCTAGGATCGATGCTCGAGGGAGATCATGAACGTAGAGAGTAAGTCTCTTTCAGCTTATTATCCTATGTCTTGTATTTGTGAAGTCTTACACATTTGACTTGATTTTAGGGGATATGAAGAAGGCTACGAGGATAATGGGAATGATGATGGGGGAATGTTTGGTGGAGGTGATGACTTTGGTGGTGATTTTTGATCACACTATTCTTCCATTTTTACCATTTTTCTCAAGCATGGCTTTGTAATCATTTATAAGATCAACTTTATGATAAGTATTAGCAGAAAGAGCCTCACGCTCAGATCTGATTCTCACTCAAATATATAACTCAGGTGCTTTTAATATAATCCAACCATATTCTTCCCAGATCAAAACTCATTTCACATCATCTATCAAGATAAACCTCAAGTTACTACAAGATGCAATCTCCTCGCGTGTTTGCTATTACTACATTATTGTTCATCTTTGCCACCTTATTTGTCGGTCAGAAATTACATTTTATGTCCCCTACTTAGGATGCAGTCATCACACCCGGACAAAAAATCACCTTAAAACTAAAGTTTGATTGTAAGTTGAACCTCAACTGTTGAGAGATCGAGAGTGTATCAAAAGATTGACGTGTCGATGTTTGATTTCCTACATATCTTGTTGTATGAGGATTTGTATGATAGCTACTTCTCCATCTGTCAAACAGATTGCTTGGACTCTTGGACTCAATGGGTTTGAAAATGATCTGACTTTGCTTCCTCGACCAGTCAAACATCTTCTATCTGTTCTTATGAGTCTGAGTCTGACTCTCAACAAAGCTTAGAAATTTTATTTTTCTACTTGATTGATCATCAAGTTACAATTGATATCGTATCTCTCGTGTTTCTATTTGTAAGGCGTCTGCCTCACGATCAACAGACTTATAGATCAATACGCCACTTACTTGATTGATCTCTTCCATCAGGCTATCTTTCCAAAATCATGCAAAGTGTAGGTTTGACAAAGTAACCAACAACAGGAGCTGATGATAATCAAAATGAAGTGAGTATAGGTGAATTAAATCTGAGATCACGTATAGTGATATGGAGAAAGAAGTTGTTTTTAGTCAGCGACAAAGTCCAGATGAAGACGGAAATCACATCAAGTACGGACACATCTCTTGATCACCATAAAGTTTTTTTCTAGACGTAGGTTTAGAGCACACATATAAGGTCTTGGGACATTCATTAATAATGAACTACATAGTGAAGTTGCTTTGAGCATGACAAAACAATAGAAGAAATGATTCAAACAGAAGGAATATGTATAGTGAAACTTGAACGAGAGCTGTGCATCTCTCCAGACTCCATCCGGTTTTGACAATTTAAAACTGCGGGCTCTGCGGACCGCATACACACCGGCCCGAGGTGAAAGTCCAAATCGGGTCTCCAAACTCGAAACTGCACAGCCACTGCTTCACCGATAAATAAAAGTCAAAGACTGTATATGCACTGGAAAGTTTTGAATTTATTTACCATCTTCGACTATTTTTTGGTCTTAGTCTCATTGAATCATCATTTTCTAAAGAAAACCGAACCAACCAAATGGGACTTTTCGATAAACTCAAGACTGGTAGTAGTCAAAAACCAGCACCACCACCTTATTCTGCTACCAACAACAACAACAACAATCATCAGAATTCATCTAAACTCAATCCTTATCCACCTACAGTCACAAGTCCTGTTACGCCCATTTCACCTTCTATGAATCAAGCTGGAAGTTCTGATCAAAGAGCTTTACCACCGGGATGGGTAAAGTAAGTGATTTTTTCAAACTATCTTTTTGTTAATCGATCTACAAAACTTAATGATCCTTGCATCGTTCTTTTAGAGAATGGCATGATGGATATCAAAGGTTTTATTATGTTGATACACTCGCTCCTGGTGGACCGGTTTCACATTGGACACATCCATCTGATCATCAACAAGGACAAGACCGTACAGGTTATGGACAAACACATTATACTTCACCACAACCTCAAGCTGGGTAAGTTTGGTTTTCCGATCTACCTATCCAGCTTCGGTTTTATGCTTTTTGATGGGTTTTGGTTTGAAAACGAAATCCATGATCTGATCTCTGGTTTTAAACTTTTTCCTTAGGTTTGGTCAACCACAACAACCTGTTTATCAACCACAACAACCTGTTTATCAACCACAACAACCTGTTTATCAACAACAAAGACCTGTACCACAAATGATGGGTAATAACAATGGAAGAGGTAGAGCTGGGATGAACCCGTATGTGACCACGAATCTAATAAGCTCACAGGAACTGGTTCAAACTGATTTTGTTTCTTTCTTCTGGTTTTAATCGGATTGTGTGATTGATTTGGGGTTTCGTTTTTTAGATTGATGGCAGGTGCAGGTGGTTTAGCAGGTGGAATGTTATTAGGCTCTATGCTTGGAGGAATTGGTGGACATCATGGTTATGATAAGTGAGTTTTCTTTTTGTTTTCTCCTTTGAGTTATACAAGCGTATGTGAAATTGACTTTTTTCTTTTGGTTTTGAATACGTAGTGGTTATGAACAGGGATATGAAAATGGATATGATAATGGATATGATAATGGTGATATGTTTGGTGGTGGTGATTTTGGAGGTGGTGATTTTGGTGGAGGTGATTTCTTTTGAAACATTTCTACATACATTTATATACGATACGGTCTTGATTCTTTTTTTCATCTATTGAGTATGGCAAAGTTTTTTTTTCTTACTACAAATATCCTCCTAAGTACATAGCTTCTTTCAATATCTTCTATCAAGATCAAACACAATCTTCTCTATGATTTTATCTGTTGTATTTCATGGCTCACAGATTTGGTTTGATTTTTCTTAACTTGTTTTTTCTGTAGTTTGGATTTGTTTCTGATTTCTTTGATAGCTCACTCACACATCACATCATATGAGTAATCGAATGTAATTTTTTGTGTAGGCTAGCTAAGGTTTTGAATCATTAATGAGAGTTGAGTGAAAAACATGAATGTTTGGATGTTTATGGGACCGTCAAACGCACTGAGTCTAGAAGTCCATTCAGTGTGCCCTTGGATAGTTGGACTGAAGTGCAGAGGTTGAAGTGTTGAACATCTCCAAAGGCTGTGCTGGTTATCTATAATCTGGATGAGATGTGCTCTTGAGTTGACCCGGTAGGCAGCCATCACTGATCCGGTCCGAGTCGGTAATTTCGACAGTCCGATTTAAAAACCATACAAGATAGGTCCGAGGGATGGGTTCCAGTCTCCAGTCTTGAGAGTGAAGTTGAGTGAAAAGTTTAGAAATGCAAGAACAGATGAATTGAAGAAAAGTTGAAGGATCTTAATGTTCTTGATAATAACCAATCAAGAGGAAGTCTAATGTTCAAAAATCGATTTGAATCTAATCACTTAATCGTCAGTACAACTTTATTCTTTTATCAACAACTCACTAACACTATCACTAACACTTCACTTCATTAGCAAAACAAATCTCTCAAACCTCAACCAGCCATCAGAACATTATCATCACCTGCTCATTTATTATTTCAACTTATCAAACTAACTACTTTACCTTATTTCATCTCTCAACTTATCTCTTCATCATCATCTTCAAAACCAAACAAAATCTCATCATTCAAATCTGAACCATCATCAAATCATCATGAACCATCTTCAAAGTCATCAGCAGACAAACCTTTATTCGCATCTAATGAACCTACAACTAAAAAACATGATCATCAACACATCATCTTCCCTTCATTACTTCAATCTACATCTAAATCATATCATTCAAAATTCAATACCAAACGAAGTTATAGTACATCATCAACTTATACACCACTTCAACTCACATCCAAGATACATCATCATCTCAGATCAACCCAAACAGATGATCAAGAATTAGAAGAACTTGGAAGATTGTTGATCCGATTAGACCAACCGAAATCAAAGACTTTACATTTCTCATTATTAAGATTAAGATCTACTTTACTTTTGTCTCGATTGAGTAGATCATCTAAACCAGATCGGATTCAACTTTCTCAAATGTGGAAATCAGAAGCGGTTTCACAAATTGTAGATTCATGGAAGAAATCTGTAAAAACTCAAGATGATCATCGAAACTTCAATCAGGTTGATGATTATGAAATGAGAAGACTCATGAGGATTAGAAAAAGATTGTTTTTGAAGAATGGACTGAGACCTTGTGATTGTTGGAAAGTTAAAAAAACTAGATTAAGGTCTACTGAAGATGATGAGATCTTTGAGTATTTTAAAGTACATTTCAATCGATTGGATCAACTTAGTCAATTAAGATTTATTGATATTTGTTTAAGGCGTCGTCGTTGGGATCTTGCAAGTGAATTGATGTTTGAATCAGAGTTTAAGATCAAAGCCAATCAAGAAGCCAAATTGAAGAATAGATCATTAAGACAAGTCACTGGATTATTATTACATCTTAGATCGACGACGGATGATTTAGAAACCTCAACCGATTTATTGGATTCGGTTCGAATCATTTGTAGGAAATTGAAAGATGGAAAAGAGATGAATGGATTGAGATTTAATCGATTATCATTAGATGTGATTTGTAGATTTGCATCGATTCAAATCAAATCGAACCAAAATCGAAATCGAAATCGAAAAGCATACGAAGTTAGACATCAATGTAGATTGTTTTTAAACTCTTTGATGGGTTTAGATCATTCTCATCTATCATTAAAAGCTTGGTCCAAGATGAGATTATTAGATCATTTCTCTCAATTTAAATCTACTCAAGACCAATTCCATAAACTCTATCATCATTCATTCCAAGAACCATCTGATTCATCAAGTCTTTCAGCTAAGATGTCAAGGATCATTTTAAAAGCTTCATCGAATTCGAATGGAGAAAATCAATTGAATGAAGAATTGATCAAAGAATCTATGATTCGAATCTCGAAAGAAAAAGATCCAAGATCATTAATCGATTATTTACTTGGATCTAATCAACTTACAAATCATCAATTGACGTTGAATGACACTTTGCAAGTTTGTGAAACGCTTTCCAAGGATGAGGATCATTTGATTTATCGACTTTTAAAACTATCTTCAATTGATTTAATTGATTTCCACCATGGATTCTTAAACAAGATGAAAACCCATGATCAAGATGATCATTCAAACCAGAGTTTATCCAAAACGTTAATGTTAATTAAAGTTTATAAACGGTTTCGATTGACTTGTAAACCTAAGCTTGAACCTATCGAACTTCAACATCAAGAAATCGAAACCAGTTTGATTAAATTGATTAAACAAACCATTCAAGGTTTAATGCACGGGAAAAGAAACGAAATCGAATTAAAGAAACTATGGAATGAGATTCGAAATGAGCCATGGTTATGTATGAGATTAGGTTGGGGGTTTAGAGATTTTGGAGTGAAGGTCTTTGAGAGTCAAGTCGATGGAGTTGATCGTTTTGATCATCATCATCATCATCATCAAGAAGATTATCGTCATCATAAGAATAAGAATACAAATACGAAGAAGAAGAATCTTAATGGATTTAATGATCATCAAGAAATTCGTGTGAAAGAGTTTAAGAGGTTTTGGGCTAATCAAGTGGCAATCGAATGTGTTAGATAATCCTACATTTGTTTTCAAACCCGATTGATTTTCCAATTCATTTGTTTTTGTTGAAACCCAATCTTAGTCATTCTAGTTTTTTCTTCTGAACATGTGGTTTTTTTTTCTTGAGAGGTGGAGGTTTAGATTTCAGTTTGATAAGAATCAGTTTTGGTGGTTATTTTTTTGGGAGACGGCGGAGGTATTGGGTTTATATGTAGATATATATCAATTCTATGTCATGACTCATTGGATTATCAAGAGAATTATACTTTTAGATCATGTTGGATTGGTTTAGAAATTGATTGGGTTTTAGAAAGATTCACATCTGGTCCAGGTGTGTTTATTAATTTTGATTGGATTTTAGTCAACAAGTGTTTTGAAGTTTTTCATAATCTCATAAACTAAAGTTCTTCATGAACTTGATAAATTAAACTGATTTAAAATCAATGGTTGAGAATCATTGAATGGTTTTCTCATTGAATCCATGAAATCGATTTTTCTTGATTTCTTTTCCAACTCATCATTACATCACTTTTTATTAACTTTACTGTGGTGTGAGTCAACTCATGATGGTCATTAGAACATCTCCCATGCAGGTCGGTCTGCAAACATAACAATTTGGACACACTCATAAGCTTTGTGTTTGCAAACCTGGCTCACCAAAAGACCATCGCTGCGGTCTGGCCTCAACTTCCAGCACAACCGGTCTCACATGATTGGTACTCCAAGTATGAAGGACCAACCAAAGAAACCAAATCGAAAAGCTTTTTTGTAAACAAATTCAATCCTTGAACCTCTTACTCAAAATCCAAAAATCCAACAATTTTTTTGAATTTAATTTTCCTCACTTTTTTCTTTGATGATTTCTAAAGTTTTTTTTTGTCATTCATTATATATAAAACCAGATACAAAAAAAAAATCAATTTTTATCAATATATCAAAAAAAAAAGTAATAAAAAAAAGTACGTATGCTAGAGAGAAGAGAAGAGAAGAGAAGAGAAAATAAAAAACAAAAATCACAAAAATCACAAAAAATGCTTTTACAACTCTCGACGGTTTTCTTTTTCGTTTCGTTTCATTTATAATTCAAAGTTATTTTTCTTTTCTTTAAGTTAAAAAAAAGATAAAATAAAAACTATAATCAAAATCAATCCACTAATATTTTTTTTGCCAACAACAAACCAAATCACAATCCAATCGAAACCACATCCTTCAAATTCGGTTTGGGTTCCAATTTTTCTAATCAAAACTCTTCATCCAACAAATCAAAAAACTTATGAAATCCATTCTCTTCTTCTTTTTCTTCTGATCGTTCTTCTTCTTCTTCTTCTTTGGTTTGATGTCTTTGACACGATTCAAAAAACCCAAATGATGATAATGAATTCTGAAGGGTAGAATCAAATCCAACATCTCCTTTGTTTTGATTTGAGATAGATTCCAGGCCAGCCAAGACCACATCAACATCCAATTCAGATCGTTCGTTTGAGCCACACAGTTCTTTAAATTCCAATTGATCCGCTGCAGGGAAACTTCCTCCTCGCTTGCTACGAGGCGGCAATCGGTGAGAACCGGGCCAAATTGATCGGATCGAATTGAACGGAGAGGTAATGGAGTCACTGCTTTCTTCTCACCACTAATTAAAGTAGGATCTAAAAAACTCGGATGGGTTGAGATTGATTCATGATTCGGATTAGGTTCATTGGGTGTTCTTGATGAAGAAGATGGTGAAGAAGATTGATTGGATTCGGTGGGAAATAAGATCGAATTCCAATCCATTGAAGAAGGGAGACTTGAATTAGGTTCAGAGTTTAATAAGTTTTCGAGTTCTTCCTCTTTAAGGATCAAACCTAAAAGTCCATCATCAAGCTCAAAAGGAGCTAATGAGGATGGTGAAGAATTGATTGGGATGGACGGAGGTACGATTGAATTGATGGGTTCTTGATGATCGGTGATGTTGTTCGTAAACGGTTCAGAAAAGGTGGATGGTTCAGATGAACGCTTGAGTTCGAAAGCTAATCTAGCTTTCAATTGAGCATTCTCTTCCTCTAGAAGATGAATACGGACCGTCGAGAGATATTCTGCTTGAGCAGGCGATAAAGTAGTAGGAAGACTAGGAGCAGATGAGATAGATTTTGAATCAGTCGAATCGGATGAAGGAAGAACAGAATCCTTGGAAGATGGTGAAAGGATGATCGAAGGATCGATCGCATCAGATAAGTTTGAATGTGTTTGATTGGATGAATGAGTCGAGAAGACATCCAAATCAAAAGTCAGATTCGAAATTGAATGATTCAAAATCGATGGTGAGGGTTCTAATGAGACAGGGTGAGATTGATGATGAGATTGATGAGGACAAGGTTGAGATTGGAATTGAAGAAGTTGAGATTCTAATTCTTTGACCCTTGCCTCCAATTCGGTGACATGTTCTTTCTTTCGATCACGAGAAGCTTGAGCAGCGGCTAAAGGATCAAACCAATTGAATTAGAATTTAGATGAGTTTTGCAAAAGCATGAAAGGAGCTAGACTTACTTCGATTTCTAATCATTCTAGCCATTTTACGTTCTTCTTTTGTCATGCCAGGATGAGGGTTAAAAGGATCGAATGGTAGATGATCATAATTGTTTAATGATTTAAATGATTTGTTGGGTTTTGGTTCGAGTTCATCTAATCTTTTACGTTTAGAAGAGATTGAGATATCAGAATTGGAAGAAGATGGAGTAGGAGAAGAAGATGAGATTGGGATAGAATGAATTGGATGACTAGTAGAATGGATAAAAGAGGAAGTTAATAAATCAAGTGAATGAGAAGGAGTCGACATCATTTATATATGGTGGTTTTACAATCTTTTGATGAGAATGAGATAAAGTATAAATTTATAATGAAACTTGAATGGAATGATATATGATCTTGATCTTGATAGTTGTCTCGTAGTTCTTATGGATTATGATTGGGATGAGATGAGATGAAATGGGATGGGATGGCTTCGACTCTGACTGAGTGGTAAGACAACACAACCCCTTAAACCCCCCCTTCAACGTGGAACCACCTAGAACTTAGGTTTAAATCAAACTTAGGTTAACCCTACTAAAACTTAAATTCAAATCAAACAACCCAACCGCGGATTTATGTAAAGAAATCGAGAAAAAGGTTTCAAAGGTTTATAAATAAACTGATTGAGTAAAATTGAACTCGTGTAACTCGTTTTAAGAAAGACTTGTTGAAGGGGTTCGTTTTGAATCTTAAATTTAGAAAACTTTGATCGAAAGAAAGAAAGAGACGGTTTTAAAGTAAGTAGGTAAATGAATCGATCAAGAACTTTTTGAAAAGGTATAGAGAGATGAATGAGGAGAATTTAAGATGATAAATCTCAATCGATGTCAGAATTGAAAAGTGGATCAAAAGTAAAACTGTTCTTTAAATTGTAAAAAAGGTTTTCTAGGGAAGATGATAAATAAACAGCTTTGAAGACAAACTTCACCAAATCGTCAAGGGATTCTTGATTTAGCTGACTCGGTCGGATGAACATCATCAAGAATTTGATTGAATCTATTCTCCTTCAACAAAAAGCCTGAATTTCGAATTCCTATCGTTACCTTGACGTTCTTTGACGTTCACATCCTTATCAATTCTTTTCCATACTTTTTAAAATTAGATCAATTCAATCTCAATCTTTTCATTTTGGATTTCAATTGGCTTTGGTTCATAGCCTCGTTAAATTTATTTAGCCTGATACGTTTGTAGTATACATACATATTCATACACAGCCACTGCTTGCCAATTCAGATCATCCGAAAGTTGACGCCAAAAAAACACCGGTGCAAAAAAACACCATAAACATGCACTAAAGACTCATCAAAGGTTTTTCATTTCAAACTTCATCCATTTTGTAAAGCTTGCGATCTCTGGACAGCCACTTTTCACTTTTCCATGCCATGTACCATACAAAAAACTGGTTCAATTACAAAGATCTCTTGTGAAAATAAAGATGAGGTGATCTAGAGTGATAGTTTAGGACTTTTAAGTCTTGGCTCTTTTCTTGGGGTATCTTTGAGGGCGCGACAAACGGGCTGGTGAGCGGCTTACATAGTTTGCTTGAGGAAATCTTGAGGTGTGGATCAGTACTGCCTGGAACTTCATCCTTCTAGAACCTCCTAGAACTCCTTCAATTTCAATCCATACACCTCTTGACATCTTCATAACTCATTATCTTTGTACTTTTCTTGAGTATATCATTTGTTTGAAATCCAAAAACTTACCATCCTTGAAGAATTTGACCTTTGTTTCAAAAAAAGACTTTTGATTGATGGTCTTATCATTTATGTATGTATGTACCCCTTTTCTTTTTGTGGAGTAGACAAAGGAATCAAAAAGATTGATTTTTATATACATAGTTATAATTAAATCAAGTTATAAAGTGATTTCAAGTTTGTTTATGTACCTGTTAAAACCATTTTTCTTTAAGAAACTTCAGAGATAGCTACGTATCTCAAAGAAAGCAAAAAAAAAGCTTTGTAATATCCACAAAATTAGACTTTTAATTTAGGACCTTTAGAAAGGTGATCTGTTTATATTTTTTAAAAAAACAAAATAAAATGAGTATATTTTACAACAACAGACAATTTGTTTTGGTGTATGATTAGTGTCAAAATAAACAAACTTGAAAGACATTTAAATACAAGACATAAAATTAATTTAATTCAGAAAAAGAAAGACTTGGTGAATAAGAGGTGAGTTGGAATTATATATTTTTTTTTGGAATATTCATAAAAAAAACATCAATTGTTTCCAAGAAAATCTCCAGTGTTGTTAAATCCACATTTCACATGTTTGTTCTTTCTAACAGGTTATACATGTAGGGGGTTAACTCATTAATTTAACAAACTTGCCAAATCTATTGATAAAATTATCACACTTGGACTCAGAGGGATTTTACATAATCCTTAGCTTGACAGGCTGGTTCATTGAGTCTGACTGACTGTGTTGCCAAATCTCTACTCAAGCACTGTGGTTGGTCTGACTCACAATTTCAGATAGGCATGGTGACAACTCATATGATTATGCTTATAAGATCACCTGTATTAGTAATGCTGTGAAAATAAAATGAAACTTAAGTCAGATTGTTAAGCAAATCTGGACTGACTTTATAAGATTGAGATGCCAAGGATCCATCAATGATTGAAGAGGTTTCATGCTTTGTAAAGGTCTATGGTTTGGATAAACCATCTGATTGGTATAGATATAGGAAGAACTGATGAGGTGGGAGTATCAGAAAGGTTGGACAACAAACATTGAAGACAAAACCATTGAGAGTGAGGGCTTGAAAGGCAATGCTGAAAAGAACCAATCTATTTTTGATGCTTGTCATCTGCAATCAGACGGAGTCTAAATCAAACAGAGTCTCTTGCTCATGCTCACCCTCACAAGCAGCCTCCCTGATCAACTCCCTGTGAGCAAGAGGGAGGGACTTTGTTGGGTTTAGACAGGGATTTTGAACAGTCTGTACTTGGACAAGTACCAAAAAGTGCTGTATTGCTGGACTGGAATATGGCTCTGCCTAGCAAAGATTGCCAGAGACCTCAACAACCATCTCAACTTCACTCACAACCAGTCTTGGACCATTCATCCAAGTCAAAGTCTCTCAATACAAGCCAGGTATCTGCGTGTGGTGGGTGGCCTGACCACAAACATGCTTGTGTTTCTAGGTGAGCCAAGTTAAACTTTCTTTTGATGAGCAATAAGTTGAACACTCACTTACATTGCTTCCTCATTTAGATGAAATTTCAATCCAAGAGTGGTTCCTTAGACAAGAGAAAGGCAGGGCAGTATGTGGGTAGTGTACCAAACAAGTACCTTGGAGTTGCTGTGGTAAACATTTTTTCCTTCTCCCAGAGATTTTCAGGGGTGGTGTATTGGATGTGGAGTGCCAAGGAGGAAGATATGATTGCCTGGATTTTGAGCGCTCTCTAAAGCATTGGCTTGTATGTTCCCACTTTGGTTCCATGGTCTACTTTGTGTTGACGTTTATTTTTCTAGAGCTTACAGTCATGGATCCAAATCCCAAATCTAATTCAGGATGGGTCTTGAACAATTGCTGTATTGATCACAGAGGACAAGTTGCTGAGCTAGCAGAAGAAATATGTATACAGATCATCTACCTACCACTGTATTCACCTGACCTCAATCTGATTGAGGAAGCATTCAGTGTCCTCAAGTATCACTTCCAAAGAACTCAAATCCTGATGCAAACTGCAGCCACAGAAAAAATTGACTTAATCATTGATCAGATGTCGGAGATATTTTTGGGAGTCCTCATGCATTAATTATATGCTCTATGTGGCTATCACAAGAACTCAAATCCATAAGCCCCCACTGTACAGCATTTCCCCAGAATTTATGCTAGGAGTTATGTTCAAAGGGGGTGATTCTATGAGGGAACCTGACACACTCTGCTTGTGACTTGTGAGCCTCCAGAGGTTATTTGACCAAAGTGATGCCCACAGAATGCCTTTCATCACTGCTTTGTCTTATGCATGTATGGTTGCTTAATCCTCTTGTTGAACCTGGGATTTCCAAAGGCCTCCTTGCTCTGTCATCTCACCAAACATACACTCTCCTAGGTGTTCTGATGCTAAACCAACTTTTTCACTTTCCTGTGAAGAGAAAATTTAAAAGAATTTCCAACATTAACATCACTGTACCATTCCTCTATTTCTATGCAGAATCTGCTCTTCAAGAGACACCCTATCACAAGCAAATATTTCCCTTTGACCTCATCTGTCATTTTCACTCTATCTTTTATTCATTTGAAAGATCTTATGTTTCTGCTTTCCTACTCTTTGTAACCTGTCAACACAGCCAGAAAATTTACCTCAGATGTTAAAATCCAAGGAGACATCAGATTTTGACCCCAAGGGAAGCTCTATCCAAGGATCCAATCCGAGGCAATGGCAACAGCCAAATTTTGCCTCAGAGGCATTCCTTGGGTGCCCTTGTCCTTGGGGGGGCATCCGAGGACTCCTCAGATGTTTGTTGCCAAGACAACTATGTGGGCAGTGCAAAAGCAAATATCTTTGCTTTCTGCGGAGGTATCATATTGCAACTTACCATTCTGGGCTGTACAGTACATTATTGCTAAAAATCTATCTGGGCTTTCATTTTATCTACCACATGCTTTTGCTTTATCCCTTTGTCTTGTAAACATCACTTCCATTGATTGTTTCTATATTCTCATGTTCTACAATCATGTTCTTCCACCACTTTCAAAATCCATGCAAATTGTCTATAAATCATCCATATTGGATTTATTGATGATGAGCATTCTCAGACCTCTCTTCAAAAAGAATGATTTCAAGATGCATGGAAATTCCTATAAAATTATGACAATAATTTGACACAAGACAACACAGGAGTCATCTAGACCCAAAGTGAATTGCGGAATACCAGGCCTAGTTCATAAAGAACATCAGAAAACATTAACCTCCAATAACATGAATAGAAACTCAAGAACTGAAAGAATCCAATAAAGAGAAAGAGGGAAGAAAAAGAAAAACAACAATAATCTAGACTCTAAATGTATCTACTGTACTGTATGACCTGTTACATGTCTGTTTGTAAGTGTGACACCTTACAATGCATTCACAATTACTCTTTTTTCTAAGCGCTCACATCTTACCAACTTTTCAAGTACAATGGTAGATAGCTGCACCATTCAACTGATAGCAGAAACACTCCTTCAATGCCAAAGCTCTCCACATCTTCCTTTGGCCAATATTGTCTTGCATTCCACTGCATACAACTCCAAATGCACCATTTGAGAAGATGTTCCAAAACACCTGATGGTCCACAAATCATTCAATTGTCGAATCTTATTGCACAGCAATTCAAGCAACATAGGTGACTCATGATCGCTTGTTTATTATACCCGTTGCTTACTGTCACTGTGGAAATTTGTGCTACTGGTTAATTACCT